GCTGGAGGATCGAACCGAGGTCCCTGTGCTTTGCCAAGCTTGTTTCAAGTAGGTGCTTTAGACCACTGAGCCATCTCTCCAGCCCTGTTTTATGTTCTGAAGGCAATGTGGAAAGCTTGCAGGTTGTGTCTTTGTTTCTGGGAGTGGTCAGCTGCAAGGCACTGTGGTATCCAGGCTGGCATATCAGGCTGGCGTATCCAGGCTGGGGCTGGTGTCCTCTCTGACATTTACCTATGCCTGCTTTCCAGAAAGCCAGCTTCTTGCATTTACACATGGGTGTCCTGTGAAAGTGAAAGACCACACTATTCAGGAATCCAGAACAGCCCACTGACAAGACAGAACAGACCCTGGCTGAGTCTGGGTGTCTCCCACTGCAGGAGCTGTGGAGCTGGGACAGATGGTGCATGTGGGGTCAGGACTCCCTGGGGGACTGCTGTGCAGGGGAAGGAGGGGTTTCCTTGACCCAGGGTTCTTGGCAGAGAACAGACCTGCAACAGGGACCCCAGGCCTACAGCAGGTGTGGTGGCTTCTGGGGCCCAAGCTGAGTCATGGAGTTGCCCTCCAGGGCATGTGGGGCCAAGCACTCTGGAATAACTGGGCCCCCGCCCTGGCAATGTCTGGCTCCCATGAGTCCCTGGGCCCTGGTGGCTCTTGTGGCTGCTTCTTGTACCAGCAGAGACTCATTGTGGCCCCACAAAGGACCTAGTTTTTGTCCTGATGGATGATAGGTAGCCACCCTGGAAAAAAATCTATCTGTGCTTCCTTGGCAGCATCTCTGCTCCTCCATGTGACAGGCAAGAGGCAGCAGTGGGTAGCTCCAGGGTCCCTGGACATCCACTGTAGGTGGATCCTGTGAATAGGGCTTACATGGCTGACAAAGGAGGGGTCTGGGCAGAGTGTAGCTGGGCAGCTAGATTCAGAACATTGCTAGCATGGGACAGCAGGTCCTAGGGCAGCAGTGGCTTCCCTGGTCTTTGAGCAGCAGGACCTTGTAGGGGGTGGATTGTTTTCCAAGATCCATACCATGGAGATCTCTGTGTGGGCAGCCATAGCTCTGCCTCCCACATGCATTGCTAGCGTCCCGGCCACACAGCAGGGAGGGGTCACTGTTACCCAGCATTGTTGCCTAGCAACAGAGTCATGCTTCATCATCAGGTTGCCAGGGGAACAGAGGATAGTTAGCCTTAGGTCAGACTCACATGTAGACAGCAAAGGTCTCAGCCAGTGCCCAGAGCCCTGGTGGCACTTGGCATTGACCATGTCCTCTCCTGTGGGGTCCTCTGCTTGGGTAGGACTGTCCTTTCTCTGTCTTTCCTTGAGATGAAGGCTCTCTCTCCAGTGCCTGGGGCATGGTCTGGACTCCATCATGTGAGCCCAGCTGTCCCTGTGTGTGCCCTATATGTCCCCATGCCTGAGGCTGCAAGAGACAGGCTAGGTCCTGCAAAAAGGGCCAGTGGGGCCAGTGAGATAGCTCAGCAGTCTAAAGCACCTGCTTAGGGCAGCTTAAGCAAGCACAGGGGACCACGGTTCAATCCCCAGCACCACATGCTGCACCAGCCCCACCCCCACGGTGGGCTGAGCCAGCCACTAAAAAAAAATGAAGGGCCCTAGTGCCTGGTATGTGCTGCTCATGGTAGGTGCCTCAGTCTGAACACACAGATGGTGACCCTGGGAGAGGGCACAGGCAGGACCCATCACAGGGCCAGAGTAGGACAGGGCGTGTGAGCGGCTTGCTGTGCTGCTGATTGGAGCCCTGACCACACCCAAGTGCTCCCTGAGCATGTCTGCTCAGGTGAGGGAGTGTGTGAGAGTGTGTGAGCCAGTCATGAGCACATGTGAGTGCATGTGGGATGGGGCACACCTGGTGGGGCCGTCAGGAGCATGTGCTGCAGCAGCCAAAGCCTCGAGGGTCTCCAAGGAGTCTGGGTGTGCTGTCCTTCCTGTGCCTGGATACATTCAGGATTCTGCATTGAGCATGGGAATGGGGCTGGCCAGGGAGGGTCTGGGCACCCAGAGTTGTAGGGTGTCCTACAACTGTGAGTCATGGAGGGTAGGCCCGATCTGGATTCCCTCTCAGTAGGTGCAGATCAGGGGAGGTGTCTCCAGAGTATCTGTCCTAAAATTTCATAGATACACTGAGGCATGAAATCACATAATGGCAGTGAATTTTCCAGCAGGCACCATTGCCTGGGCACTGCTGAGACTGCTCCATTGTGTCTCAGGGATTAGTTCTAGGAGCACTGCCACTTCATGGCACAGGGATACTACTGTCAGCTGTTGGAAGCTGTCCTGAGCCCAGACATCCAAGCCCTGCCCTTTGGCCAGCAATCGATGGATGGCTCCTCTATGTCCCAGACACAGCTGGGGACATGTCATAGGGCTGTTTCATCCCAGCTGCATCCCAGCTGCAGAGCCCGGCTGGGATGGGGCAGTGCATTGGCTCCTCTGCCTACAGAAGGTGGCCAGGGGGACTTGGGCAGAAGGGAGGAGGCGGGCCAGGCATAAGCAGTGCTGGCAGGGCAAGGGGACACTGTGTGTGCAGGGGCTGTCTGAGTGTGTGCATGCATGAGAGTGTGCATGAGTGCAGACCACCTGCTGCCACTTGACTCTGCTTCTGGTGTCCCGGTGCTCTGAGCTGGGCCCTAAGCCTGTGCCTCAGTCTTTCTACTTGTAGGATGGGTCCTAATGGGGTTCCTGGCACTGAGACAGCACTCCTCAAGGACTTGAGATTCACATGGCCCCAGGGATATTCCGGGTGGGTCATTGTACTTCTGTCCAGCCAGATTCTTTTGTGATCAGAAAATTGAGGTACAAAGGTGGGATGCTTATCAGGGTCACTGCTGTGGAGGTCAGAACTCCTCTGGCTGCTACAGGTGCTCAGGTAGGGAGCCTGGCAACACAAGCAGGTAAAGCCAGGGACTAAGGAGGCATGGGGTCTGCTCCACCCACCTCCCCAGCCCAGGTTGCACCTGGCCTCACAGCTGCCCTGTCCTGAAGCAGCAGAGGCTTGGGTGCTCTCCAGGGGCCATGTTCTGAGGTGCTGCCCAGGCTCTGAGGCCCAATGACCTGAGCAGCACTTGTGCCTGCTAGGGCAGACCTGGGCATGGCTGGCCTTGGCTTGGCTCAGCCAGAAATAACTGGACGCATGTGCTACTTCTTCCTGGGTAGAGACTGAGCCTACCAGTGTTGGGGGCTGAGTGCCACTCTGGACTGGAGTGGTCAGTTGTGAGGGATGTGTCCTGCAGAGGCCATGCCTGTCACTCTAGCTTGAGGAAGAGTCAGGGAAGCAGCCTGCAGGTCTCCAAGCTCAGCCCATGCCTTCGGGCTCGGTAGTCATGTCCTGCAACAGACACTTGTGTGTAGGCTTCAGGATTCTGTGTAGCCTCCCTCCTTCCAGCAGCACTGCAGGAGGCAGCAGGCTTTGCCCTGTGGGCTGGGGCCCAGCAGGAAGGTGGGAAAGGTCATGGGCCACCAGGTGGGCAGCAGGGTGGAACACAGGGGTCTTGGCCAGCTTGCCCCCATGGCTGTTTCTGTGCAGGGCTTTGGCTGGTGTTACAAAGCCTCACAGCAATGCAAAACCTCAGCTATCAGAGTGGTTTTAGTTCATCTGTTTTGAAATTTGTTATTATTTACAACTTCAAATTGAATCTATCATGGTAGATAGGTAAGTTTGTCATCCCAGCATTCTGGGAGGTGGGGAAGGAGGACTACAAGTTCAAGGCCACCTGGGCAATTTAGTGACTTATTGAGACCCTGGTCTAAAAAATAAATAAATAAATAAATAAATAAATAAATAAATAAATAAATAAATAAATAAATAAATGTGCTGCAGATGTAGCTTATTGTGAAGGGCCTGGACTCAATTCTCAGTACCGCATAAACACCACCATCAAAATTCCCACCAAAGGCCCATGTCCCCACAGCCTGCCCACTGTCCCTGGGTAGGCAGGCTTCACGAAAAGAGCCTCTCGCACTCACATTCAGAAGGCGCCTCATGTCTTTAGTCTCTGTGCTCTGAGTCAAGCCTCACAGACACTCAGTTTGAGGCCATGTGGGCAGCCAGGGGCACCCCCTCCTTCCAATGTTGTGGGACTGCAGGCTTAGTTTTCCCCCTTGCAGGACCATCCCGGCCCTGGGCCAGCTGCATGTTCAAGGAGCCCGAGGGTGGAAGGTGACACTGCTGGACCCCTTCTCCCTTCATAGGCAAGGCCTTTCAGGAATCATCCCTGAGATGGTCACCTCCAGAAAATGACCTGCTGTTGCCTGTCCCCTACCCGCTTCCCAAAAGCCAACTGCCCTGGGGCCAGTGGGAGCCAGGCAGCTCAAGCTTAATAAATCCCATGAATTATCCAATGCCTTCCTGTTGATGTCCACTCATATGCAGTTGGCCAGGGCCCAGCATTCCCAAGAATTAATTCAGAGATGCTGGTGGTACTTGGAAAGCCGGAGTCCTGGGAGTCACGGGGAGCTGGAGGGGTGACCCTAGGTCCCAAGGTCTAAGTGCATAGTCAGGCTGAATTTGGAAGGGGACTGGCCGGTTTCCCACTGTCCCATTTCCTCCTCTCATCCCTGAGGCAGCAGTTGGGTCAGAATTGGATTTGCAAGGAGTTGAGCATTTTTTAAGTTCCAGTTTCACCACAGAGAAGTGGCTCCAGGCCAGGACTCCAGCATTCTGAGCTGTGGGGAGGGTGGGACAGCTGGTGCCTTGGTATCCCCAGAGGCTTGGTCCTGGCCTGAGGCCCCCAGGCTCACACATCCCCCAGGCAGAAAGCCCATAGCTCCCAGGCTGTAGATGAGTTGGAGAAAACCCACCCACATTCCTGAACACCCTGTCCCCCTCCCTGGATGTGGAGGAAGGAGTTACCGGATCTGAAGGTGCTGTCACCTTGGTTTCTGCTGTCACTTTGGTCCTTCTGTCTGTGGGAGTGCCCAGGGGAGTGGCCAGCCCGGGAGAGTGAAAAGGGAGTGGGGAGGGCGGGGCGGCCCCTCCTCCTGGCTGGCAGAGTCTGCCTGGCCTCCACTGCTCTCACAGTCCTGATGGCTCCCGACCCCAGCGGATGCCTGCGCCTGCTGCTGCTGCTGCTGCTGCTGCTTGCCTGCTGCCTGGCACCTGCCCAGGCCACCCTGCTGACCGACTGGCTCTGGTCTCCAAAGATCCGTGACTCCACAGCCACGCCAGTCTCCCAGTCCCAAGGCCGCCTATCCCCGCAGCCCACAGAAGCCCGCTCTACGCCTGTGGCCACCCAGCATGACCCCACGGAGCCAAGGACCACCCCTGCCAGCCCCCGGTCAGCCTCAGAGGAATATGCAGCCATTCAGAGTGAGACCCCTGCTGCCCACATCACCCCCAGGCCCCTGACTGACTCCTCTGCAAGCAGTGACACAAAGGAGGAGAACATCGCAGGCGTTGGTGCCAAGATCCTGAATGTGGCCCAAGGTATTCAGAGCTTCCTCCAGCTATGGGACGACACTGCTCCAACTGGGACCTCTGCTTCTGTAGGGAAGCCAGCCACCTCTACTCCCACAATCCTGCACAACCTTACTGGACACTCTGGTGACCTCCAGGACAGCGGGGCCACTCTTGGGCCCAATCATGGAGCCTCAAGTGTTCTGGGAACCCAGACAGCCAAAGCCAGTGCACTGGCCATGCCCAGCCAGCCACCTCCATCCCTGGGTAGGTCCCAGTCACCACTGAGGGGATCCCCTGTGCCACCTGTGTCCCCAGGTAGAGTTTCTCTCTCTCCTGCACCTGGTGGAGCCCCTCCCTGGGGCAGCTGGCACTCCTTGGGGCAGCCCCAGGATCTAGATTTGGCAGCTGGTAGTCGCCAGCACCATGGACATCCTGACTTCCGCTGGGTGCCTTTTCTGGTGACGGGTGAACCCTCTGCTCTTGCCTCTGGCCCCTCAGCCTGGTTCTCTCTGGCAGCTATGGAACCTTTCCCTGGGAACAGTGGTGCTTGGGTCTCTCCTGTGGCTTCTTCCAGGGGGCCTGGGCTCACTAATCACTCTGTACTGCTGGGGCTCAGCCCCCCAACGCCTGATGGCCACTGCCTGCACCTGACACCTGCTTTGCCCATCTGCAGCCACCTGGGCATCAGGCGCTCATGGCTGCCCAACCACCTGCGCCACAAGAATGGCAAGGAGGTGCAGGCAGCTGCGCAGGCCTGGAGAGGCCTCCTGCGGACACACTGCCACCCCTTTCTGGCCTGGTTCTTCTGCCTGCTGCTGGCGCCCCCCTGCAGCCCTGGCCCGCCGCTTCCCCTGCCACCCTGCCGCCAGTTCTGTGAGGCCATTGAGGATGCGTGCTGGAGCCACCTGGGCGGGGCCCAGCTGCCTGTAGCTTGTGCTACATTGCGTGCCCAGGAAGATGGGCTCTGTGTATTCATTGGGCCAGCAGCAGGTAACTATCAGCCCTCTCCTGATGCCTGACCAGGTGACCAGAGCAGCCCTAGCCTTGCCAGGTGGGCACCGTGTCCCTGAAGTGAGCTCCTGGGGCTATAGAGTCATAGCTGCAGCCATGGTGGCAGGTGCTATAGCGTCTCCCAGAGGGGAGGTGTTCGCACACTCTGTGCTGCTCTCAGGTGGTTGGTGCACTACCACATGGGCCCCAGGGCTTCATAGTGACTTAGCTCTCATCGTAGTTCTGGGACAGCCCACTATCCCCTCAGTCACACCAAGAAACTGAGGCACAGAGCTATGGCTTTGTCTATATCTCCCAATCCTTACATTTTGCCATTTAAGCATCTGGGGTGCCAGGGATGGGTCTGGCTGCTCCCAGGGCCTGTGCAGCCTTGGAGGATGGGCACACTGAGGCCCCAGCCTCCTGTGCCTGCTCAGGCATATACCCACCATGATTGCACTCACCCTGCAGTTGGCCTGCCCCTCCTGCTTGCTGGTGAGGGTGGCAGGGACAGGTTGGGCAGCAATTCAGACCTGTGCTGGCTCCTCTTGCTGGTCCCATTCTACCTTTTCCTCCCCATGCTGTGTGTGCCTTGGCTGTCCTATGGATGTGGGTGTCCTGTCTTCCACACCTACGGCAGCGGCTTTGAGCCTGGGTCAGGTGGGGGTGACTGTGGCAGGAACGGTCAGTAGGTCATGTAGCTGGGCTGCCTGGGCCAGGAATTCCCAGCAAGTCTTGGCCAGTTTGGTCCAGTAAAGACTGGAGCCCCTTGGAGCCTTGCAGGCCTGGAGTGCGGATGGAGTGCAGGCAGGGCAGGGCCAGGTATTGAGGGTGCCCAGTTCTAGCACAGGGGCACAGAGGGCTGCACCTTGGGCCTGGAGGGTGTGAGCCCGGGGGCCATGCATTGTGTGTGTGCTGTGTGTTTTTCTGTGTGTCTGTCTGTGTCTGTGTACACAGCCCTGTTCCTGACACTTACATGACCCCATCTCTGGAACAACCAAGGTGGCCCAGGCCTCCATGCAGGGCTTTGCCTCACCTCACCATGGCTGACTAAGGTGCTTGCTCTGGCCCTGTGGGCGGCCCAGGCAACTTAGGCACAGCAGCCTTCTTCTGGGGAGGAGCCCTGCAGCCCAGGGTCAAGCTTGGGAAGCCAAGTGTTCTGTTGGTGAGGCTTGGTCACGTGAGATTCAGGCTGGGCTGGCTCCGGGCGGTCCTTACAGCAGCCAGGCCCAGGCCAGGCAGCGTGGGCGAGGAGTTTCTCTCACTGCAGCCAGCTGGCCAGTCAGTGCCTGAAAGGGACTTTTTAGGGAACATCTGGACATGTTGGCTGTGTTCCCAGCATGGCCCTGGGGGGCTTTTCCATCATGCTAGTGACCCGCATCCCCTCAGGCCAGAGGTGGGTGGCACATATCATTAGGCCAGGAACTCTCAGATGTGGTGGCAGGGTCCCCTCTGTGGGCCCCTCCCTGAGTCCTCCAGGGTGGCCCCCACATCTGTTAGACACTGTCACCAGCTTTAGGTAAGCAAAAGGAGGGAGAGGGCCCAATGGGACAGAAAGGGTCCTTGGTGTCTGGTCCCTCAGAAGTGGCTGGGAGATCTTGGGATTGGAGCCATAAACACTGACCCTTAGAGGTGACCCCAGCTGGTGTGGCAGGGAGGTGTTGGGCAGGGAGGAGGAGCTCCGGCAGGAGGAAACTCAAATCTGCTGCCTTTCATGCCTGTTCAGAGATGTCTAGTTCCCTTCCTCATGCATGCCTTTTGTTCATGGGACTATCTTGTCCCCTGGTCTTGCCACATCTGCATACACCTGGTCCTACACATCTGGGCCCCCCCTCTGCTCACCCTGTGTTCCTCCTGCAGCTGCTGACTGTGTCCAAGTTAGGCATTGTGGGCTGCTCTCTGGCCTGCTGCAACCTCCAGGAAGCCCCAGGCTGCCCAAGAGTGACCGGCCAGGTGGGAACTGTGTCCCTGGGTCTGCTGTGGAGCCTGGGTCTGCTGTGGAGGTCTGGGCACTGGGCCTTGGGAATGGCAGAGGCAAGAGGCACCCTAAGGGACACCATGGGCCAGTGTGCTGTGGCTGGACAGGAGTGTTCCCACTCCTGAGCAGGTGTGGCCCAGGTCTCTACCTCACTCCTCCAGTCAAGCATGGGCCTTACAGTGTTATCATTCTTCAGAATGCTTCAGTTAACTCAAAGTTTCTATTTAACTTTGATTCAAAAAGGAGACAAGACCACTTTCATGGAAAAATACCTAAGTGATTATCTGTTGTGTTTGGCAACCTGCAAATATTTTTCATGTGAGGCTGATGGAACTTCCTGTGGGCTCCCATCCAGTACAGGCAGCCACCGTGACTTGTCCCTGCCTAGAGTAGGCCAAGGAGCAAATATCCCACGTGACATATGCTACATACATATGTCCTGGAGTGCTCAGCACGACTGAGTCAAGTGGCAGACCCCACACATGGTGTGACTATGTCTTTGTGTGAGGCACCTTAGTGTTGTTGCCACTGTCACCAGGCAAGATGCTCAGTCTCCAAGCCTATTCATCCTATGTCCTCAGAACTGTGAGCCCTTTGATTAGCCTCTGCTTTTCCTTCCCTCCCACTCCTGCATCTGGGACTTCATCTTGTTGCGGGGACTGTGTGGGAATTATCTTTCTTGGTTTGCCCAGCATCATGCCCACTGAGCCATGCTTGTCTTCTCCCATCCAAGTACTAACCAGGCCCGACCCTGCTTAGCTTCAGAGATCAGACGAGATCGGGTGCGTTCAGGGTGGTATGGCCGTAGACCCATGCTTGTCTTCTCATGGACGAGCTGCCTTTCCTGCTCTCTGGAGTTGCACTGGTGTCGGTACCATGTCTTCTCTGCCTCTTCCTCTATCCTGTGTACATAGGTGAATTCCACTTCCTGCCTTTGTGGTGAATAAGGAGGCTGTGCCTTTTCATGCCTGAGTGCAGTTCTGTGGGTATGTATCCAGGAGTGGGATTGCTGGGTTATGGGGATCAACTCTGGGTTTTGGGGACCCTGCCTTTTTTCCCTAATGGCAGAGCCAGCTGACATCCCTACCACATATGTGTAGGGGTCCCTTTTCTCTGAGTCCTCACCAGCCATCATTACATGCCTTTTGGGGGGCAGCTGCTAGCAGATGTGAAGTGGTGTAGAGTAGGCCAGGTTGCAGATATCCCAGAGGAAGTTCTCTGGCTTCCTCTGTGCTCCTCTGAGGCAGTCAGAGATGCTTCTCTTGTGTAGCTGTGGGAAATCCATGTCCCAAAATGTCTACCTTGTCCTTTGTCCATTTTTAATCAGGTTACTGATATTTTGTCCTGGAGCTGTAGGAGCCCTGTGTTTTGAGCATTGGCCTGTGTCATGGTGAGGTTTGCAGGACACCTCCTACTGTCCTGCATGATGGGTTGTGCTACGTGGCTGTGTGTTCATCGGATGCAGGCAGCTCGCTCTGCCCAGCCCCATCTCCCTGAGGAGTAGCAAGGCTCTGGGGCTCCCCTTGGAGCTGCTCAGAGCAGCTCCCTGAGGCTGCCCCACCCATGACTAGAGATTCATCCATCCTTCTGCCATGTGAAGTCACTGTTATCTAACTTTTTTACAGTGATATAATTGACATGAAGGTACCATCTTTGCCATGGCTAAGTGAGCAGCTCAAAACACTTCATCTTCCTACCCTGTCACACTGCCCTGCTCACACGCTGACTCCCTTCCCTAGCCCTGTGTCTCTGCTTCCTGTCTCGAGCCCTCCTATGAGTGGGGCCACCATGTCCTCACGTTCACCTGTGTTGTGGCCATGTCAAAAGGTCCCTTATGGAGGCTGGGGACCTCCCCTTGGGCACACAGGCTGGACTACAGTTTGCCTGCTCCTCCCTCAGTGGACACTGTAGTGCTGCCGTGCCTCGGTTGTGAGTGAGGCTGTTGTGAGCTGCAGTGCACAAATGTCTCAAGAGACCTTGGGTCAAGAGGTCACTCGAACTTTAACTCTTTGAGGAGCCCCAGAATCTGTTTCCACCTCAGGGTCCCCTCAGCGGTGCACACAGGTTCCAGCTTCTCCAAGCCCCACCAACACTTTCTGTTGTTTTTTGGCCTTAAAACCATGCTGTTGGCCCTTGCACAAGTGTGAAGTGGTGTCTTATTGTGTTGATTTCCCACTTCCTGCTGATAAATGTGTCCTCAGCCTCTGAGGCCAGGACCAATGTTCATTTGTCCCTTTTGGGAGATGCCTGGGCCAGCCCTCACCCCCTTTCAGTCAGGTCACTTTGCTGTCCTCATTGAACCTGAGGGATTTTCTTATGGTCTTGACATTAACCCTTTCGGAGATTT